TGTGTGTGTGTGTGTGTGTGTGTGTGTGAGAGAGAGAGAGAGAGAGAGAGAGAGAGAGAGAGAGAGAGAGAGAGAGAGAGAGATTGGCATAAGTATTTCTACCCCGTGGGTCATTACTGTCCTTTGATTTGCCACTAAAGATTCAGGTCATCTTTGAAACAAGTCTTTCCTACAGAGGCTGCATTTGACTGGACAGACCCCCTTTTCTATGAAGGAAACTGGCCCTTTCACCGTCAAGGCTCTATTGGCGGAGCTTTGGCTGCTGGCTTGACTGGCTGTGGTTTTGTTAAGGTCTCTTGGGTAATAAGCCTATTGTCTCCCTTGGTTTGGGCTTCCTGCTTTTTGGTCTTTCTCCGCGGACCCTGGAAGCCCTTCTGGTGGCTGGAGCAGTGGCAGGCATTCCCACACAGCACACAGACTTCTGCAGCCTGCAGTTCCGTGACTGTTTTCCAAGTTGTCAGAAAAGGTGGCTTCTGAGAAAAGTGATACTTTCCCAGCCAACAGGAAATCGTCAGTTCTTGTTACTTTGCTGGTGGTAATGCTTGTGTATTAATCTACCTAATATAATTGCACAGTTGGGGTTTATCTCACTGTGGGTATTTGTTTTGTTGTATGTGGAATTAAAAAACCAAAAGCCCCAAGCCTATTTAAACAACGACGATGATTTCAGAGGTGAGAACGGGGATGGTAGGGACTCTTCACTCCCTTCGTCTGGTTCAGGACCGCGCTGCTGTCTCCTCTCCATTGAACGAAGACGTCTATTTTATGTCTGCTAATTATTGTACTCTCATTTGTACTTTTTCTAATAATTTAAATGTCTCAAATGGCTTTTGGGCCTGTTCACTTTTGTATGTTTATACACTAAAGCTGTCCAAATACCTAACTTGAGTTCAGAGCAGCATTAAGATGCATCCCAGTAGGATCAGTTTAGAGCCGTGTGAGCCTGACTGTATTCCAAAGTAATTAATCAGTGTCCGGAAGTATTTACTGAGTGCCTGGTACTCACTTGGCAAACAGAACTGAGACTGCAAATGAAGAGCTGAAAGTAAAAGATGAGGCTCTCGCTTTTAAAGGCTCTCCTTTCACTCATTCGCTCATTCAAACAGCTATCAGGAGCCATCTCACCCGGTTACTCACAGCGCTGGGTCTGCTGCTCAAGTCCAGTTGGGAAGGTAAAACTTTACCATGCAGAACAACAGAGTGACCGGGTGCAGTCTAACCGTACCCGGTCTAGATCCCGTGGGGATCTAGATTAGAGAGTGGCATGTGGGATACCTGCAGACCAGAGGGCGGAGTTGCTGAGGATTGAGACACTGTCAGGATTCAGGCAGGATGAATACTACCTCACACAGTGGAGTCCTACCCCTTAGAGTCAGGGAATACCACACAAGAGGGTAAAGGAGGCACTTCGGAGGTGGATGTCTTAAGGAATTGTGAAAAATAGGATTGGGTACGTTGGGTGTGGCTTTATTTTTTTTTTTTATTTTTTTTGGTTTTTTGAGACAGGGTTTCTCTGTGTAGCTTTGCGCCTTTTCCTGAAACTCACTTTGTAGTCCAGGCTGGCCTCGAACTCACAGAGATCCACCTGGCTCTGCCTCCCGAGTGCTGGGATTAAAGGCTGCGCCACCACCGCCCAGCCTGAGGCTTTATATTTTAAGGTGGGTAATTACATGAGCTAAAAAGGCTGCTCATATCCAGCCATGCTTCTTTCTACGTTGGGGGAAGGAAGTGTAAGTTACTAACAGGACTGTACTGTGTTTGGATAGAAGTGGTATAACCAAAGAGCTTGGAGTCACCAGCCATGTCATTGGCTGCCCACGAGCTATATTAGTACTGCTTGCCCACAGTGCTGACTCAGGGACAGACTTCCTTTTTAGAAGGCTTGGTTCCTGACTTGACAGCATATGACACTCTCAGGTCATTGGGTCAGCCTGTCCCGAACTGCCCAGCAGATTGTAAAGCTTCGACAGTCATGACCTGGCCTGCCTTTCACTTCTAGCTGGGATCCCACCGCTTCTTAGTCAGTTGCCGCCTGTGTCTGTCCTTGGCACCAGGCCACGGGTGAGGGGCAGTCTGTGTACTAGTTCTTCATCTTCGACTCACAGGGGAATAGTGGAAATGTTTTCCTCAAAGAAATTATGGGAGGTAATTGTTGCCACTATTTTACTTTTGAGTCTCTATTTCATTTTTCTCCCTGTTTATTTATTTTACCTATTCATTATTGTGGAGATCTGTTTCTGTTAACTTCTGCTGGGGCTTAATAACCCAAAACCTCAGTGGCTTCCACAGGCCCACGCAAATCTGATTGTGATAGCGGGCACTTGACTGCAGTCCATAGTTCCTCCTTAGATCTCTCAGTCCCTCCTCTGCTCTCCAGGCTCCTGGGCAGCTGGCCTCAGACAGGGCTCAGTTGCATAGAGACTGGGTGAGAGGTTATGTAAAAAGAAAGAGAAGCCGGAGAGTTTTTCTTCCTTTTTCCCTGAGGTGGCTTCTTCTGCAGAGATGGTTTCTGTGGTCCTGCTTCCCACTGGACAGATCCACCTTACTTCCATGTTCCTTTAAGAGACCCCAGGCCTTCAGCTCCAGTAACACCACCTCTTCCTCTGTCTCTGGCCTAGGGGTTGTGTGCTCCCTGTTAATGCTAACCCTTCTACCAGTTTGGCTCTCACCAACGTCATGGCTTGTATAACCAATTCCATCTCACAAATTCTTTCTGCTGTGGGCTGAGGAGCTCAGTGGGGAGGACTGGTCTAGCATTTGCAAAGATCTGGGTTCCATTGCTAGCACCCTAAAATAAACAGGCCTATTTTAAAATAAAGTCTACGTGCTGATGCCTTGTTAGTATATAATAAATTCCTTCTATTATGAATTCTTGAAATGATTTGTTAGACCCTGACCAAGAGACATTAATTTAAAGAAGAAAATTTTCTTTTGCCTGCCATCTTTTTCCCCCTAAGGTACACAGCCTCAGAAACAAGTATAAAAACAGCTGTTCTTATTCTCCCACTCAGATGTCTCCTAATGAAGCAGCGTGATAGAATGGCGACAGTACTTGGTTTGGAGTCCCTGGACCCAGGTTAGAATCCTAGCTCTGTCACTTTCTACACAGTGGTTTTGGCCTCAGTGTCTCTGTGTGGAAATAAATTTCCATTATCTCTTCCTCCATCTGCAGGTAGCTGTGATGATCAAAACAAAGAAATGCATTGTAAACTATCAGTTTATTCAGGTGGCACAAAAGTGATGTCACAGAACCAGGTTGCAGGCTGTTATTTTTAATTCTTGTGGACATTTGTTATTTGTAGTGTAGTTACTTTCTCATTATAAACTCAGAATTGGAAAATACAGCAGTTATACAAAATTATACCAAGCATCCATCTCATTTTAGAAGATATTTACATATATTTAAGAGATAGCTCTAAATGCCGAGAACAATTTGACCACAGCTAATACCCAGTTTCTGGTTCTTTCCAGCCTCACTGCAGAAGCAGGCTTTTTCCCTGCAGACAGTATGCCATAATCCCAGTAGGCTTGCATGAAGTACTTCAGTCATATGAGCAGAAAATTGCCTCTGCCCACTTCCCAACCTTTCATTTGAATCTTGCTATAAGGGAGAGATTCACTCTTAACTGAAAGTAGATCTTTATTGATAGAATCCTTTCTAGTTCAAAGGATGCCATGGTCAGGCCATGGATGTAGCTCAGTTAGAGCCTCAGTATCACCACTAAAAAAAAAAAAAAAAAAAAAAAAAGGATGATCAGGTCATTTTTGGTTCTTCTAGAACTATGTCTCAAAATACATCTGCCGATCAATTGTGTATGCCTATGTGTATGTACATATATACGTGTACATACATGCACAGCAGGTAGACAGAGATCAGAGGACAACTGGGGAAATTGGTTCTCTTTCCAATATTAGGTCCTAGAATTGAACTCAGGTTGTTAGGCTTGGCATCAGGTGTCTTTACCCATGGAGCCATCTCACCAGCCCTAGAAATAAGATTTTTTTTTTTTTTTTTTTTTTTGGTTTTTCGAGACAGG